TACTTTGTTAAAGCAGGTTTTTTTAAATGTCCTTATGAGCATACACTCTATACTAAATTTAGAGCAAATGGGAAGATGCTTATTGTGTGCTTATATGTTGATGACCTTATTTATGTTAGTAATGATGGAGCTATGCTTGCTGATTTTAAGAAATCTATGATGAATGAATTTGACGTGACAGATTTGGGGCTGATGCACTATTTTCTTGGCATTGAAGTAATGGAATCTCCTATTGGTATCTTCATTTCACAACAAAAATATGTTTTGGAAATTCTAGACATGTTCAAAATGCAAGACTGCAACTTAGTTTCCACCCCAACTGAACTTGGTTTGAAGCTTACGAAGATTAGATCAAGAAAGAAGGTGGATGCAACTCATTACAAGCAAATTGTTGGGAGTCTTATGTATTTGACATCGACAAGACCAGATATTATGCATGCTGTTAGTTTAATCAGCAGATACACGGAGAATCTAACCGAAGTTCATCTCTTATCAGCAAAGAGAATTTTCCACTATTTGAAAGGTACAACAAATTTTGGAATTTTTTATAAAAATGGTGGAGAGTCAAGTTTGATTGGTTTTTCAGACAGCGACTATGCTGGAGATATTGATGGTAGAAAAAGTGCTTCGGGTTTTGTTTTTATGATGAGTTCTGGAGCTGTTTCATGGTCATCTAAAAAGCAACCAATAGTTACTTTGTCAACCACCGAAGCTGAATTTGTTGTTGCAACAGCTTGTGCTTGTCAAGCTATCTGGTTAAGGAAAATTCTTAAAGTGTTGCAGTTTAAGCAAGTGGGAGCTACTACCATTTTTTGTGACAACAACTCAGCCATCAAACTTTCAAAAAATCATGTGCTGCGTGGAAAGAGCAAACACATTGATGTGAAGTATTATTTTTTAAGAGATCTCAGCAATGATGGAGAAATTGAACTGGTTTACTGTCAAAGTGATGACCAAGTTGCAGATATACAGACCAAGCCTCTCAAGTTGGCTGCATTTGTGAAGCTGCATGGTCTACTTGGAGTTTGTTCAGGTGCTGTTTTGAAAGAAGACTTTGCACAGGATTGAATTTGTTATTTTTAAACTGATTTCTACATATTTCAGTTTAAGAGAGGGTGTTAAATGTGCTATTTCAGTTTCTTTTAGTGTTTATCAGAAGCTTAGTCATTAGTTGTTTTGACCAAGTCTTTAGGAAGACCAAGGCTCCGTTTGGTTGTGTTTTGAAAACATAATTCTACACCTATATTTGAATATGATGTTTGGAAGGAGTTTTGGAATCAGTTTTCCAAAACTCTGCAGAGAACTCTGTCTCAGGCGCGATTTTCAAAATTTTTTTTTGCAAATTTTGCCTAACCGGTCGTCCACCCAGTTGACCGGAATAGTGAATTTTTTTTTTTTTTGCAATTGATATGTTAATTTTTATATAATCGAAAAAAATATTTTCCGAATTTTTTAAAATTTTTTATGTGCTTTAAAATAATTTTGAGTTGTATGTTTGGTTATGAGTTGTAAATTTTTGTATCGAATATCAAATGTCACATCAACAATTCCTCACTCTTTTCAAAACTATTTTCTTACCAAACAAATTTTCCACACTCAAATCATAATTTCAAACCTCACAAACTCAAAATATAACTCATACTCTCAAATCATAGTTACAAAGCTCTACCAAATACAACCCAAGTCTTTAGGAATTCAGTTACTTGATTCATGGCTGAGAAAATGTTTTATTTGTTATCTTATTTTATAGGGGTTGTGGTTAGTGCTAATGTTAGTTGAGGAAGTGTGCTTCTGCAAGACTGATGTAAAGTCTATATAAAGGCTTTTTATCAATCAATAAATATTGAGAGCTTCACAATTCCAATACATTCCTTTTACTTTTCTCCTAAACTGTGCCAGTGTATCAGAGTGTATCAATTACTCAAGCTGTGTGGCCCGCAATAAACACAAAATTGAGGAGATTAAAGTAGAAAGAAGTAGAAGAAGAAAAGAAGAAAAAAAAAGGCAATCGAGTGCATGAGATGTACTAATTAGTAAAGGTTGTAAATAAATTATCAAAATTTATTTCCAATAATAGAAAAATAAAATTTACATGCAAAGTTAAGATACAAAAACTAATAAATAATAAATATCATTGAAATATAAAA